CACACACACACACACACACACACACACACACACACACACACACACACACACACACACACACACACACACACACACACAACAAATAAACTGGGAGGCCTCCCAACGATAAAAATGCTGAATATATTCAAGAAAATGACATAATTGTATTAATTGATCTATTGTCTATCATATTGCTAACTGTCTCACTGTTGGGTAATCCCCTCTCAAGTATGCTTCATTGCTCGCATAAAGGTCAGGTTCCTATGATGTTGGATCTACTCGTGAAGGCATTGCTGGCATAAAGGTAACGTTTCTATTGTGCCTCAAGTTGCTTACTATGGAAGACTGTTTCCATGCTGTGGATTGATTCATCTCAAGCATGCTTCATCTTCAACAATAGAGGTAAAGTTGCTGCGATTTTGGATCTACTGACCTCGGTGGAACAGGGGATATTGTGGTGAACATTTACAACACACACACACACACACACACACACACACACACACACACACACACACACACACAAGAGAAATGCACAGGAGCATACCTTCCCTTGTACTCTGCCTCCTGTTATAACGTGCAAGTGGGCTGTTAAGGCACACGGGGATGTGTGCAGCTGCCGCTCAACCACAATCAACGTGGGCAGCCTTGTACGTGCGAGGCATAGTAAAAGAAGAGCTGTTGGCCCAAAGAAACCCCGACTAAACACAATTCAAAATGGTTCAATTGTGTTTCATGTTGCTTGCTAAAGAGGTGAATTCTTTAGTTGCTGGGATGGCTCAACTCGAATCTACTTGTCTGGGTGGAATAGGGGCTGTTGTGGTGGAAACTTACAACACACGTCCCGGTCTTGCTAGCTCTCTACTCTTGAGGATTGAGCGGCTAGGATCGGACCTGTACTAGCAGGTCACACTTAGGGTAAGTTGGATGTGTATCATAAGGTCTGTGATCACCGCAAACTTTCTGATTTATCCAACGTGCTTGGCCCGAAATGCAAGGGCTTCTCATACAATGGTGGAATGAATTGTACCACTGCAGCAATACGTCTCCTATAAGGCCCAGTTTAAGGAAAAGGTAAAAAAGGAAAGAACTGCACAATTGCAAAAGGGATGTACTACTGTTGTCACTTGTAGGAGTGTTTTCTTTCCCCGGTAATCTCCTCGGGAGCATACTACGCACGTGTAGCTCACACCCTTGGCCTGGGCCAGCTTGAGATGGTGTGGCAGAGTTGGAGCCGCCCTGCAATCGAGATCTGCGACCTGGGCGCACTATTTGTAGTCCTTGATGTCTCCGTCTACAATTTTTTTCCTTCTGTAATTTGATAGTCCTGGTGTTTGACTCCAACAAGATTGTATTGTCTTTCTTTTATGGTGATTGCAGAATGTGGATGCATTGTGTTTCTTTTTTTATCTCTTATGGTGATTGCAGAATGTGGATGCATTGCATTTGCGATCGGGCATTCCTCGGGCCTCGTTGTCAGAGCTACATGGAAATTGCTTCATGGAGAGATGCTCTTTATGCGGTTCTGAGTAAGTTGTTCCTTTGCCTATAACCATCTTTCACTCAAGAAAGGGGATAATGATAGGTGTCTGCCCCTTTGCAGACATCCAATGTCTCGGGGCATACTCAAGCCAGGACCTTTTCGACCGGGGTCACCACAGTTGCAGAGTTCTAAGTTTACCTTGAGATATGCAGAAGGTGCAGATTGTCTGTCTGGTAGGTGACAAAGTGGCATGGCTAAATGAGCACGTTTTAAGATGGAAAGAGTGGCACAATTCTGTCAAGCCTGTAGGCCAGCAGAATACCCAGGTACATGAGGAACCGTCTCCAATCTGGGCCTAGAAGAGCATCCAAGATACACGCACGACAGGCGGCAGCCGATGTTTCTCATGGAACAGATGGACAAAATAGCTAGGCTGCACTCCGGGCCGCCCGGCGCCTGGCTCGTCGCCCGGGCGGGGGGCCGGGCCGCCTGGCCGGTCGTCCCGCCCGGTTGGCCACCGGGTGACCCCAGCGCATCATAGAGGGGAGGGGGGGTTCTTCGCGGGGGGCCTTCTTCCCCCCCAAGGAAGCCGTGGATGTGAAAAAAAAAGAAAAAAAAGGGCCGGTAGGCCCCGTTTGAACGAGTTCAAATGCCCGCTCATCTGGGCCGTCGATCCTCAAGAAGTCGTTCAAATGGGGCCTACCGGCCCTTTTTTTTGGTCTGTTGGATCTTGTTTCCCGCCAACGAAGTCGACGCCAGCGTAGAAGCCAGCGTTTGTCGTTGAAGCCAGCGCCCGCCAACGAAGTCGACGCCCCTCCCCCCCCCGACGCCCGCCGAAGAACGCCAGCGCGCCGGCCCAGCCTACGCCGCCCGACGCCCCCCGGCGCACGCCACGGTGAGTGCGTTAGTGAGAGAGAGAGAGAGAGAGAGAGAGAGAGAGAGAGAGAGAGAGAGAGAGAGAGAGAGAGAGAG